TTTGCATTGCTTAATGTCACAACTCAATCTGCGTCTTTTGTTCTAAACATTTGTTTCGGTATCGTCATTCGCAAAGCTGCCTCTGTAAGTTGCGGTGATTGGCTCTGTAAGCTGCGGTGATTGGCTCTCTAAGTGTTGTGCGGGAAAGCAGACGCACGGGCTTTTTTCAGAGTGTAGGGGGCCCTGATTTACACGGCTGGGCCAATTGCGACCGAAAGATCACCGCCTGCTGCGATTCGTGAGCGCCGCACAGTCCACCAATCAGAGCAGGCGGCGATGTCCTAATCCCAAGAAGTCCCGCCGCGTAGATTAGAGCCCCAAGTCACCTTCCTGGTCCTTTAACAAGTACCAGTTGTCCTCTGGAGATGGTGTCAGACGATGATAGCGGTGACGAAGACATCCTCGATGTGTTTTACGCTGACTTGTGAGTTCTTTTTTTTTTTTTTCGTCAGTGTAAACAGTTATTACTTCTAGCCTAATATGTAATGAGGTTGATGACAACCATAGCATTGAATCCTCTTGTATTCCAGTTACCCTCTTTCGAAGACACTTGTATATGTTATTTCAGCTCTTACGGTTTTTGTGGGATCTCTTAGGAATGGTACAAGTTTCTTTGATACAAAATTTCACTGTTTCTTTTAAATAAAATGGTCTTAGCGGGAAATTTTGTGGATACGTTCTAGAATTTAGCGGAATCTGGCGGATTTCTTTTTGCTTCTTTGCGGATTCTGAGGCAAAACGATGACAACACTGAGTAAAACACGCAATATTGAGAAGCCATTTTTATTAGTTAAGAGAATCGGCAATCAACCTAAACGTAAAATAGCAATCTAAGAATATCAGTCTGCGAATGAAACAACGGGAGTCTGACGCGAAAAACAAAGAAACAAAAAAAAAACATAAGAAGGACGTTTTTATTTATACAAATTCTGGTCTATAATAGTGACTCAAAGGACATTGTAGTGACTTGGCAGAAAACATCACTTTTTTTTTTTCGGAGATCGTCATATAGTAAACCTACAAGACTTTCTTTCTACGCATCACGCATGGATGGAGTTTACGTTCAAAAGGTGCAGCCACGTAGGAGTCAAGCTAAATAGCAGAGTATGACAACCGACCCCGTTAAGCAATGAGTAGCTTTAGTCGGAATTTTTCGAGACTCGGAACTTAGAACAAATGAGCCCGTGCTTATTAAACCCGCGGACGGAATTCTTAAAATCGATTATTATAGCGGGCGTGCCAGTGATCATCGCGGAAATTTTTTCCGAGAAAACTACGAACCGCAGAAGGAAGCAAACGGCTGATGACTTATTAGTCATCACCGAGGAGCCTACTTGGGCGGAAGGTAGATAGCTTAATTAGTTCCGAATAATTAAGTGGCACCTCTATTAACATATAGGGGTCATTAAAAGCTTGCTGGGCGTCATCCAACACAACGCTTTTAGTAAACTTTTGGGAACGCTTGGACAACGTGGAAACCGGGGTTCCAAAGTAACGGAGCACGCGCTATTCATCTTTTTATTAAAACTGATTTATTGGTTTTCGATAATACTTGGCGAGTTTGGAAATAGTACTATTGCTTTATTTTTATTAATAAAAATTCATTTATTCGAAACAAATTAAAAACGGAATTTATCCCAAACAGCGTGGGCCTGAATAAACAGGACCCCAGAGAGTAACTAAAAAATATAAATCTCTTTTTTTTTTTTTTTCAAAGCGTACTTTTTGCACACACTTTAATCGGGGTTTCGTAAAACTCCCCGTATATGTCTTGTCTAACTTTAAGCTCGGGTTTCGCGTTCCAGTCGCAATACCTTGATTGTCCTCGATGAAACCTCTGCATCGAGAAGCAATGGCAATATCCCTTTTGTAACTTGAGAAACAATTCGGGTCGGAACCTCGGTATTCTAGAGTTCATTCCGGCGTTAGATAACTTTCACGATCGCTACAGAACAGCAAAACCGTAAAAAAAAAAAAAAAAATTAGAAAGAAATATATGCGCGAAACAAACATGCAATACACTGGTTTCTGGCGTTCTCTTTTCTGTTTGTGTGTGTGTGTGTTTGTGTGTATTTGTGTCACGTCACCAGGGTAAGACAGGTTTGGAATTTGTCTGGCCTGAATTGGGCACTAGGAACTTTTATCTTTGTCTTCTCGTTGTCTCTGGATTAGTCTCTGGCTGTGTCTTGCGTTCTTTATTTTCTCGTTGGCTCTGAATGAGTCTCTGGTTCTGTCTCGTGCTTTTCTTTTTTATTTTACCGGTGATTTGGACGCGTCTCTATTTGTGTCTTGTGCTCTTTTTGTCTCCTAGACGAAACTTGCATGCCGGCGATATCGTTCCCGTTGTTTTTTTTTTGTTTTTTTTCTTCTCATTGATCACCGCTCGAGATTGCTTGGCGTTGCTAGGCGAAGAAACAAGTCTATCTTGCGGGTGAAAGTACGCGACAATCTCTCCGGTCCCGTTGACAGAACGAATGTCTACGAGAGTTTCCGCGCTGTTCTCGGAGTGCTTGTTCATCTTGCATCCCACAGCTGTGATTGTAGTGGAGCGGTTCCCCACGCATCTTTTTTTTCTTACGTATTCCCATAGGCGCTTTTTTTTTTTTTCGCCGGAATTTTTTACGAGGATTGTACTGCTTTACCAACTTGTTCGGGCCTGAATTTAGCTTATGTATTTTTTTTATCTATGCACAATGCATACTTATGTCCGTAGAAGTGTGCACGAAAAACAAACAAAAAAACTTGAGCTCTCGAGGTTGTGTTTCTGCGTTGTATTGCTGCAGACATGGTCAATATGCGATAGCATTCCAGGTTTTTCAAAAAATTGGCTTCTCTATTTCCATACTCCGTTCCTTTCCAACAAGTCCACCTGCAGCTACGACCGAATGTAGCCAATTAAGCAGCACTAAAAGAGCATCGTCATGGCGCTCGTTGTCTTTAGGTCTATTCGATTTGTCTGAACTGGCAGGACTTGTTCAACAGTGCAGGAGTTTGATGCATTCGATTCATCAGGAAGTTGCATGGCCGCTGGACTGGCGCGTTCGATTCATCCCAGTTCTGAAAGAGTTCAGACCCAGTTCCTCAAAACCTTGCACCAGCTCCGGAGTCAGTTCAGCGTCCGTGCAGAAGCAGACGACAAGAGCAGGCGGCGATAGCAGACGACACTCCTCGTCCGTCTCTGCTCGCGGTGCAATTTTTCACAGCTCTTGCTCAAATGTCTGCGATGTTTAACAATAACGCCGATATGGAGGTTGCATTTCCTCTCGTTTATGATGATAACGTATCCGCTATGGACGCAGAATTGAGATCAAAACCAAAAGAAGAAATTTGATTGATTATGACATTCTGAAAGCTTTTTAGGCACCTGCTCGTGTACGTTTGGCTCCCTGTGGTGAGTGTTGAAATATTGGCTCACGTAAATTGTTTCTTTTTGATGCTATGTGGGGATCTACAGTGTTGATTTTCTTCCCTACAGACACGGGAAAGGTATTTCAGTCTTAATAGTCCCCGCCTTAAGTTGCTCTTGAATGCATACTGACGACTCCGATATATTGCAGAGGTCTGGGATTTAGTACAATGGCCCTCGCATGCCCCGTAGCTGAGCATAATACTGCATGCTTTGTCCGCTGGTGTCTGGACGCCCACTAACGGGCCTGGGAAAAATGACGCCGAGGATCGGCATTGGCTTGGTAGTTCGATGCGGTTCTTTCTTGAGATTCAGAATAAACGATTCAGCTTGACGCCAAAGTTACGGTCGATAACTGTATTGGCCAAAACGCCATCGTCACGCCTTCGTCTTCGAGGTGACCGCTACCGACCGCGCGCTGCCGCCAGTGACTCCCGACGCAAAATCATCCTGACGCCGCGAACCTATCGTCTAAATTCGAAACTCGAGAGACTTGGAATGAATCTACTATTGCTAAATAAATGTGAAGGACACGAACATGGAAACGACAGGAACCGAATGACCGTTAAAAATGCAGACAGAAACACATTTCGTGCAGAAAACGTTTTTAGTACACTCGAATAAAAAATATTCACAGAAAAGATTCGGTTATTATACTTTAAAAATAAGGAAACACGAATGGTCTCATCAAACCGCAACTAATTAAATGTAGCATACAACGTGGCGCGGACAAACAAGAGCCAACAGATGCAGACGACACCCTGCGCTTCCGCTCGGAAAGCCGATCACAGCGCCAGTCCTAGCGCGGCGGCTGCACTGGTTCTGCGCCGCCGCTGCACGACTCCTGCACTCCTCTGAACTCGGACAGAACTAGTTCAGAACTTTCTGGCCGAATCGAACAGACCTTTTGCGATTTTACTATCACATGATAAACCAATGCGGGGCGCAAGTTCGTCTGCTTCTTTTGCAGGGGTTGTGGTGACGTCAGGACACAAGATAGTGGGTAGACCTCAAAGCAAGCTACCTTGAGGTCTACCCACTATGCGTTGATCAGAGCCAATCAAAACTCGGCGTCTTTCTGACGTCACCGCAACTCCTGCAAACTTGATCTCCGCATAACAGGCCGTGAACGCGCCGTGAACCTGGACTTTTTTTTTTTTTTACGCGCGATTGGTTTAGTCAGCGATATCGAAGTAACATGGCTCTGTGACGTCACGTGACATCAAAGTCACGTGACGTCGCGATGCCACGTGATGTCCTGACGTTACGTCAACCGCGTGTCCGTCAAGCGTATCGCTCTTTTTTTATTTCGTTTTTCACGATGCCCATTTTTTTTTAACACACTCTGTGTTCAACTACTCTGCGCAGGCGCCTCAAAAAGCAAGAAGACGAGAAGGGGTTCATGAAGCATGACGAGCTCCAGGAAGAGTATTACGACAGCGGCGGCGGCGTCGGCGTGTGCCCCGACGAGCCGGGGGCAACGGAAAAGGACACGTCCTGGAGGCGGTTCCTGGAGCCCAACTGCCCCTGCTGCGACATCTCCAAGCGCCTCACGGTGGCCCTGCTCAGCTCCCTGGGGTTCCTCATCTCCTTCGGCATTCGGTGTAACATGGGCGTCGCCATTGTCAAGATGACCCAGAACAACACAGAAACCATGGTGGGTAACCTCGCTCCAGTACGTATGCAAGTACGGCCCCTGGGCGACGCCGTCTTGCTGCTGGCATGTGTAGATCGTCTGCTTGCCGAGCCCGCGGTTACCAGAGTGTCATTTAAACGTAGCATTTTTTATCCACGGTGGCCAGATAATCTCTTGAATTATAACTGCTTGTAAAGTGTGTACGCTTGCTCCTGACTTTTGCCAGAGAACCCTCAGCCTTCAGCTGGCCGCGTACACACGTCTTCGAGTCTCCAGGCGCCGCCATCTTGCTGTTGGCGTGTGCAGACCGTCTGAGAGTCAAGACTTGCTAAGGCGCATCTACGTATGCCAGGCTGGCATTCAAGACAAAACATTTTGTATTCAAGGTGTCCAGACTAGCTTTTAAAAAGTGGCTGCCTGAAAACGTATATACCTTCTAGAGTAAAGTGAACGGAGGATGACTGTCTGGCTGCCATAGTGGTCCTTTCGGTTATGCGAGGTCTCACCAGTAAGTTTTTCAAAGAGTGTGTTGTCTTAAAGACGGCCACGAGCGCGTCACCTAAAGAACTGCTTTCCTTACGTCGGTGCCATGGTATAAGATATAAGTATACATAGGTGTGAACACCGCGCTAATCGCAGCTGCCAGAAAAAGTCCCCTCCTCGACTTGGTTGCAAACGGCGCCAAAATGACCAGACAGGCTTGTTTTTAAAGTCGTATTTTGGGTGCCCGACGTCATGCACAACTCTCTACTTCCGCTATGCGTGTTGCTTAGACACTGATTCGTCACTGACCCTAGCTCCGTGCATAAACGGCGGCACTAGCAGTTTTATGGATGCGTTGAAGTGTAGAGACAGCCTCCTCTATACTCACAAAGCCTGGCAGTTCGACGACGGAGCCATAGAGTGCCCGGTCGCAGATTTGGAGCGCGAGGATTTGGTAGTGCAAATCATCAAAGAGCCATTTCTCGGGGAACCTGGACGTCAGCGCACAGCTTTTGTAGTGGCAAGGACACAAAAAACACTTTTTCGCTCGGGAGAACTGTGTTTCGGCATCTCGCCGCAGCGGGGTGCCAGTCACGAGGCTCTCCTCTCATTCGTTGTCTGACGCTCCACCTTTTCCCTTTCGGCGGCCTCTTCTCGTGGACATCTGGCAAGCTTTGTCAGTATATAGGAGGCTATGTATGGGCACAAGATACTTTTTTTCTTTCTCTCAATTCAACCGTCTGGACGGCGGAGACGCTGTCGGCTGAGGCTACTGGTGCGCGTGCCAATAGAACTTTATCTAGTCGATCGCGTCCCAGCGTTTGCCGTGCTGTGTGTCCTCACCTATGTATATCTTACACCGTGATTTGTGCTCATGTAGACAAAGGGACAGTATATACAACCACAATCGCGAGAGCACACGCTATAGCGTTAGTACCCTGTATAGTAACTACTACTAGCAAATTGTGGTATGAGTTTCAGCTCTACATATAGACCCTTTTATAGCAAACGCTCCCACGTGGTGCTCCAGTCTTTGACGTCACAGAGAACTCCCGGTTTATAAAAATAATAAAAAAGGGCATTTTAACAGCGCTGCTCTAAATGCAGATAAAACGTTTACCCACCGATTCTTCCGGGGAACGCCAAAAGAACGAATGAGTGCGAGATATGTTAAAACGTTTTGAGTATTCTTGTAAACCAACTTGCCTCCTTTAAGGGGCAATATTGTAGATATTGTAGAGCCGAAGGCCCTCGTTTAATCTCCAACTTTGTTATCCGTGCAGCGTTTATGCTTTCTAGCAGTGGTTACATAAGCTAACTCAACAGGCTTGCAAAGACGGTGCGACCGGAAATCGCTTGGGCCGCAAGCGGCAGTTCATGTTTGTAAACGGCAAGAGGGTCTATAGCAAAACAGACAGTTACTACAAGTGGGTGGGATAAAATAAAAAAAAAAAAAAACCCTCATCGCCGGCCTCAAGATGAGGGCCTTCAATTTTGCGAAGTGCGTTAGCCTCTTCGTCCCTGAGAAAAGCTGGGGTCACAATGCTCATACCTCAGACAAGACAAGAGGCAGTCTGCAAACCCGAGTTACCGCAATGTCCGTGGTTCGAATGCCGCCTGACCTAGTTTCTCCTTGAACCTATTGCCATGTGGCATTCGAAGCACGGATCTCGCGGTGACTCGCGTTCAAATCTGTATGCCGGCTATCCTTTGTACGATCTATACGATGTACGATGTTTGAGAGACGTTCTCCATCTCGAGGTACCCCATTAATAGCTTCTGCCTTTAATAAATACCCTGTGAAACAAATATACCCTATGATATTGTAGTGAGTGAGCAGGCGAGCTGCTGGAAAGTAACCATTCTGATGTTAGCCTGAGACTGAGGCAAGAAAAGAGGAAGTTTCAAAGTAGAAGAAAAAAGGAACAGTCGAGGATACGTCTCTAACACAGCTAAAGACAAGTTTATTCGGTCACCCTCTTATATACACTCCACAATCTTCACCACAGAACCTTCGCGACCTCCAAAGCCAAAAGATAACAAAGAGCTCATGTCTTTCCACCACAATAATCAAACGACCTTGACAATTCAACTGTTCCTTTTTCTTCTACTTTGAAACTTCCTCTTTTCCTGCCTCAGTCTCAGGCTAACATCAGAATGGGTAAATATACCCTATTGTGAAATTTAAAAGATGTGAAATATACTCGAAACAGTGTCCTTTTATGGGTTATTTTCGGCACTTTGAGGCTGGACTCCTCAAAGCACAAAGCAAATGAGCTGCCGGGCCAAGTTCGTTGGTGGTTCGCCGCATATTCGCTCTATCGAGTTCAGCCTTCGCTGATCAACCTTTCGCAAGACGGTTGAGACGAAGCGAATTTTAGACATTTGAAGTCATCCCGAATGTCCACTGATGCATCCCATTCTCGGTACGTGACTGGCTCCGTTTTCATCTGGCCTTTGCTGCAGGCCCTCAAGGATCTATGCTAGTGATCCTTTCATAACAAAGTTTCGCGTAAATATGCAACAAGTTTATGCGCGCAAGCTAGTTTCACACTCCGACTCACAGCCGTTTATAGTGGGTAAGCGTGGCGGTGTTTCGAGGACGTCGATGGCTTAAAGATTTTTGCAGGCGAGTGTGGCAAGTGAGGAGGTCAGTCCGCCGTCCTGTCTTGCTGAAGATATAAACACAAAATGGCGATAATTATCGGTGCTATCCAAGGCTGTGTTCTAGAAATTACTCGAGTAGACCCGTGTTACCCTCACGAGATACACTCACGTGACAATACTGACATAGCGACGCCGTCGCCATTAGGTCATCGAACGCCAAGGTACGATAGCTTTACTCTGGAGTGACATCGAGTAAATTTTGGAACACGGCCCAAAAGAGATCTAGATATTGCGGTTTATTTATTTATTTATTTCGTTACCCTCAGGGCCAGAGGCATTACAAAGGGGAGTGGGTTACATAAATAAAACACACACAAACAACAAAACATATTAAATATGATATAATAATTAAAACTCTTCACAAAAAAAAAACTTTAGTAACGGCAGTTACAAATGTTCGCTGTCGAGAATTTCGGCGATGGCTCGGGTAAGGTGACTCCACATTGATGAAGTAGAAACATCTTCCCCAAGTTCTCGCTCATTCTCCAAGATGTGTCGAAATAAAGGGAATTGGCGAACCGCCTATCGTGCGTTCGTGACCTCAGGCAGCTTCTCGAAAAATACTTTTGGTCGGGGCAGGTGACGAATATATATATATATATATATATATAGATATAGATATATAGATAGATGGATATAAAGAGAAGCGTTGCGATCCCTGTTTCTCTCCTTCTCTTTTCTTTTTCTTCCGCCTTTCCCGAGTGAAAGACGCACGGGGTCTTACAGCTCCAATGCGGGGCGAGGCAGGTGATTGCGTGTCTGGTGTCTGACAATTCGTCACGCCGGGGATTCGCGGTGGGATTAATCGGGATTAGGGAAGATCTAGGGAAGGGAAGGAAAAGGAAAAGAGATGTTCGCCCAGATTAGGGAAAGGTCGCCGAAAAAGGCCCGCCCCTCGCGCTTCCGTAAGCTGACCCGTCCTTCCTTCGACAACTCGTCCGTCTTTGAGCGCCTCATCGTCCCGTGCACCCAAGTCCAAGGCAATATCGCGGGAAAGGAACCGTTTTCGCGTGACCGGCGCCATTTTTAATTTGGATGTAAACGATATGACGAAAAAATCAATTACCTTCCTGTTCCGACCGAATGGCGGCACTACGGTCTCTGGGAGTTGCCATCTTGCTGTGTTGGTGTGTGCAGATCGTCTGACAGCCAAGCCTGGATGGATGGATGGATAGACGGATGAATGTTAATGGCTATACCCTTTGGAACGGGTAGTACGTTGCGTCACCTAGCCTAAGTCTAAAAAGAAAACATTTGATTTTTCACGCCCTTCTAAGCCAATTTTTTTCCGCCTAACTACCACCAGGCAGTGTGGGATATCACCAGGATGACCTTAGGGGGATCGGACAAAAAAATTAAAAACATCATCCCCTGCCTCTTTACCCTGGCGAGGGAGTCGCCAATTTTCCTCTGGTCAAACCTTGTCGGCGCTACCCCAGCACCGGACTTATTGGGGGACAGGGTTGAGACTTTGGGCCGGAGCCACGCGGGAGGGAGTCCCATTTTTCTTCTTTCCCGCCCGTCCCCAGTTGTGTTAATTAGTTGTCCATCATTCAATTTTTTCTAGATAATTTCTAGCAACCCGTCTCTTTCTGTCTGTAATCCTTTTCTCTTCGTCCTTCTATCGTCACTAGCAAAACCCAGGGCCCCAGCTAAATCCGTTACATTTTCAGAGAGGGCAGGGCGAAGCCCCGTGCACTTCGAAATCAAGTGCTCTAATGCCTCGCTTTCAATATGGCAGGCGGCACATAACTGGTCTGTCTCCTGAAATTTAGCCCTACACGTTCTCGTCTTCAAACTCCCGTTCTCACTCATACAGCAAAGACCTTCCCAGTGAATTGTCAAGCACATTTTCCTCTCTTATGACCTGT